TTCACCGATGTAGACGAAGGACCCATTGAAGAACATGACTTCAACGCAGCAGGTAATCCTAAGCGCGGAGTGCCGGACTGGCCGATCCATCTTCCCTCTCCCGGGCATTGAGGCTGAAACGATCAGACATGCTCCAGCTGCCTCTAAAGGCAGGCCGTCTAGATCACAGGCCGATGCAAAGCGGGAGGCGAAAGAGCAGAGTTTTCGAGGTACCGACGCAATTTGCATTGAAGCGGACCCTCCAGACTTATGATATGAAAGATTTCCTGATCTCTCGCGCTGAACGATACTGTGAGCTCGCAAAGGTAAGCAAACAGTCTTTGGCGACTGTGCCTACACCTTTCGCAGAAAACCGAGTAGCCAAGCCGATCAAATGCGAAGAACCCGCAGGCAGGCTACAACCCATAGCGAGCTAGGTGTTGGTGAAGATCCTATTCGCAGCGCGCGCGACTCGATGGGACCTTCTGCGAGCGACTCAAAGCTTAGCTTCCTGGGTTACCAAATGGAGTAGGGATTGCGACTTCGCTTTGCGCAGGCTTGTTTGTTACACCAATTCTTTTTTGGGTGTGAGAATGCAGTGCTTCATTGGAGACAGGATAAGCGATTGCAAGCTGTGTTTTTTTTGTGGCCGACTGGTCTGGAGAGCACGACCGCAAGTCGACTCCTGGGTGTGCCTTGTACCTTGTAGGGCCCAACACATACTTTCCACTGAACGCTTTCTCCGAAGAGCAAACCAGCGTCACAATGTCCAGTACCGAGAGCGAGGTCATCCGCGCCAACCGTGGTGTTAGAGCTTGGGGTCTTCCGGGCCTAGGTCTTTGGATGTTCCTTTGACGACAGCTTGAGATTGACCCAGCCAACCATCAGGTTAGACCGCAAGCCTCGCAAGGCTTAATCCCGAATTTGATGAGATTAGGTGCTGCGGTTACGCAGGCTTACGATCAGTTGAAAACCTCCAACGCCTGAATGTAGGACTTAGCGAGAAGTTCCAAGTTCAGTTTCTGGAAGACAACCAAGCCACCGTCGCCATCGTGAGCAAAGGCGACAGTGAGAAAATGTGGCACACAGATCGTACCCAAAACATAAGCTTTGGCTGGCTTCGTCAACAGTTCGATGTGAAACACTTCAAAGTGGCTTCATGCACTTCGGCTTATTATCCGCAACCGCTGTCCCGATGTGGCCCAAAGGGGGGTAGGGATTCGGACAGCCATTTGGTGGCCAAGCCGACGATTACAGCCCCCAGCTATGGGAGGCCGGAACAGCTTCTTCGGACAAAGGACTTCAGCTACGCTGCGTTGCAAAGCCTAGCCGCTCAATTCCCAACTAAGGTGAGTCGTAGACGAAAGTCAAGTTCACAACTTCTGACGAGTCGTATTACCGCAACCGCAACTGGGGACCGGGGATTCTTCTCACTCAGTGGCATGCCAGGGATCACCACCGTAGCCAAAACGAATCCCACTGCTGGCAAATACGTGAACGGGTGGATTGTGAAACATGCACGGCGAGGGTACACATGGACCTCGTTCGCTATCAACCGTGATGCTAAGAGTTTGTTGCGCGCGGCTTGTCGTAACCTCAGTACGGGTGGATGCCAGAAGGTGAGGCTCGAGTGGACGCGTGCGTTGTTGTGGGCAGCAGTCTTTGGCGAGGAGCTCTCGCAGACGATCGTCCCGGATCATGCGCAGCCCATCTCAACGCTATACAAGGGTACAGCCGCCTCAGCATGCAGCCTCTGTGGCACTCGACCGCAGTGACACGATGCATCAATTCCCAGTGCTGAGGAAGATGTGCGAAGGACTCAGTCGCATCCAGCCCGGCTGTAGCCGTGGCCGCGACAGAGGTTTGATCGTCGTTTCAGACAGCGCAGCCATTTTTATGGGCGGCAAGTCAAGAGGACGTTTTGCAGCCTCCAGAACGATTTCGAGAGCTTAACGTCCGACAACAACATCTTGAGCCATTGCAATCACTTGAGGTACGAGCCAGGAGGCTCTTCGCCCCATTGTTGATCGCGTACATGACCTGGTGACTGAAATTGTGGCCGCCTCAGACAAGCTCAAGAGCCTGCACATTGACGTTGCAGTTGTGTGGATGGGGAACGAGCTTGTCGGCGCGCCAGGTGTTTTCGTGGATCCCAATATTCCTCACTCAAAAGAGTCTGTCGAGAACGCCTCCGCACTCGGGATTTGGAAAGACATTGCCGCAGGTGTGTGTGTGGGCAGAGTGGTCGTCTATAGCCGCCCTTCAGGGCAGGCCGCAAGAGTATCGCGAAGCGATTCGCATGTTTCTTGGCTACGGGCTCTTTTCCTCCAGCCTAGCATGCCCAGTGGCGGAGATCCCCAAATATGACGGATATCACTTCCGTGAGGACTCGACGCACCGAGCGGCGCTGGCCAACATCATCGCCCAGCGCACCCGGATCTGCCAGGCGGAGGCGACGTTCCGAAGGTTGCAAGCCCGAGGACAAGATTGCGGAGCTCATGGTCAACTGTCCCTGTGACGCCACGCATGAGGGCAGATACCCAATGTCCCAGGTCTTTGACAGGGCCCTCCTGAGAATGCACAGAAGTCCCGCCGCCTTGAAAGGCAGGCCGAGATTCGTGAAGCAGCTGATCGCTGCCAAGACCCTTGGGAGAACACTTTCGTGCCACCTCCTGAGATTCTGGTGACAGGCGTGCGTGAGGTTCACATTCCTGAAGACATGATGTCGTGGCACTACGCCCTCAGCGTGCAATCAGCGAACGAGGCATCCCGCCCAGCTACAGCTGTGGCCGCGTCATCTTCTTCTGGAGTCCCTACGGTAGCAACCGGTGAGGTAATGGCAGCAATGCCTTACCGCGCAGAGGAGCACAGGACCTTTCTTGCCACAAAGAAGGCCAGGAAGCCCGAGCCCGAGGCAGCATCAGCGTAGTCCTCCTCTGCAGCCCCGCCCCGCCTAGCGGTGTCCGAGTGATTCCGGATTCCAGGGACTACATCGGGTATGAGTGGCATGATGATGCGGATCTCAACACTCTGGTGGGCAAGAGTGATGAGATGTACTGTGGACCTGAGGATGATGACATGATCGTCGTCAAGCGCGACGAGATCCCGAAGGACCACCTCAAGCACCCGCCAGCGTGGCTTGACAACGTCTCAAAGTGGCTCATCGGGACAGTCCGAGGATCGAAGTTCAACATGAACTCGAGGACTGGCAAATGGATCGCAGTGTCCGAAGTCCTCAACCTTTTCGGCAAGAAGAGGCACACCTGGATTGGTCGTCGGTGGCTCCTTTCACTCATCGCTTATGACAACAATGGCCGATTCCAGGATGCGGGTCTCAGAATGACCGTGGCATGGTCGACAGTGGCATGTGGCCACTATGGATTTGTGCCAGTCATGGACACAGTGCGAAAATCGCAGACCAGGTCGTTGACAACGACATCGCCGCAGCCTGGTACCAGGATCTCGACAGAGACGATCTTGGTGATGCAGCAGCCTACAAAGGCACGCCGATTCTCGCACGTGGCGAATTCCCTCCTCGCCTCTATCACGAGAGTTCACAATTCCAGAGTTGTTGTAGACGCACAGCTCCAGCCCACTTAGTGGAGGCCAAGAAGCCGACATCACTATGGAAGCGGCTCATGAGACAGCACCTTCGGTAGGTAGCAGGGGGGCATTTGGCCCTCACCGACATCACCGCTGCCGACATCCTTCCTGAAGAGGCGCCAGTGCTCTCCGATCGCACTCCTATGTCAACAGGTTTTGTTGCGGAGCCATCCGGAGCTGTTCCCGACTTTGTTGCGGACTCATGCGGGGCTGACCCAAACCTTGTTGCGGAGGCATCGGCAGCTGACGTGAACATGACAGGCGACACAGTGGAAGCACAACCAGCGGCTACGAGAAGCACGATGCCACCTCAGCCCGAGTCTAAGCCACTGGCACTTCCAGCCCCTCTACGGGAGGCCGTCGCCGAGCATGTCCTCGCTGCGGTGCCCAACACTTGGTCGGTCAGATGGTGTGTCTCAGCTGCAACACCTCAATCATCAAAGCTGCAGCTCAGAGCCAGAGACGCAAGGTCAAGACCGAGCGTTGGTTCCAAGAAACAACAGCAGCCGCAGCCACAGGAAAGCCTCGATCCCAGGTGACAGTCGAGGAAGTACTGAGCTCAATGACAAGGGAGACGGGTCATTGTGGTCTACAGAGCTTGCCGCTCTTGAAAAGGCTAAGCAGATCGCAAAGCTAGCCGAAAAAACCGGCTTTTCAAGCATCGTTGCTCGCTTCGACAATGATGTCGAGTATACGATGACATTGATGAGCAGTGGCTTTGACCGCGCGTTCCTGCAAGTCCAGGACGTTCTCGTCAAAGGTACCTTGCCCAACATCGGTCGCACACAGGCCCAGCGTGCAATTGGCGCAGGCGTGCATGGATCTGGTGGTAAGGAGAGGCCAGAGCGCTCACAGCCGCCCGTGGGCAGGCCGTATACAGGCACGGTTACAGTAAGCTTTCGAGCCAAGCAACAGTCCAGCCGCCTTTATGGCACACCGTGCAAGTTTCCGCCTCAGCTGATGCCTCTGCGAGGGGGGTGTAGAATGTGCACGTGTAAACTTTCATCCGTTGTGTGACTGACTGTTGCCACTAGTGATATGGTAGAAACAGTGCGTGTCGCGCATGCTAAGGTATAATCTTTTACTACCACTTAACTACGGTATTCATCATCAGTGCCTGAATGTGGGATTCCTGTTCTATAACCCGAAGCCAGCGCAGAGCAACGAATTGAGTCGGGCTTTTGAGGCTCCATCAGATGTGAAGTTTGTTACGTGCGCGTGCAAAGTCTGCAGAATGCGGCGTGTGACACTATGCAGTACATCAGCCCTTGACCTTCGAGAGTAAACGAAAGAAGGTTGTGTGCTTGTTCTTTTTCAGCATTCAGCACTTTGCGAAAGCTTAGACAGAAACTGAAATCTGCCCCGACGTTGCGAAGGCCGTGGGTTTCATCCGACTTTTTGTTTGGAGCTCTGCTCAGGACTTGATGACCCTGCAAGCAGTGGACACCGTCAAACTCAACGAGTCGGACCTGAAGGCCGAGCGGGGCGAGCGGAGAGCTGAGATTCATGAAAGCCTTCCAAGGAGCTGAGCTCTTTGCAGGCCTTTGACTTCCGAGGAGGTCCCAGTCCCAGGCCCAAGGCAGATCCCTTTTTCGGGCTCCAGCGCCCTTCAGTTTGCTGGGGAAACCGCGGTCCTCGACCTCATGAAGCCCCGAACAGCGTGTCGGATTCAGATTTATCCGCGTGGAGAACAAAGCCGTCAGGCGTTAGTCCACGACGCAGACCGCGACGGCAATGGATACTGCACAGAATCTGAGACGGAGATAGTTTATCAGGGCAAAATAGGCAACCAATGCTGCTGGAGATCAGGTGAAAGAGATCCACAACTTGAATCCCAGTGAATCCTAGTTGATTGATCTACATGTTCTAGCATGTCCAATCATGCAGCCGCCAAAGTGCTGAGCTGAGGCAGAGGATTTATACCATGCTCTGACGCAAGGCCTGGCTACGTGCGTGCAGAGTCTAGGTTGTGCAGGGGTAAATGTAGGTACTCAGCATGGTATCACTGGGCGTATTGCATTGCATGGAAGTCTGGCTTCATACATCTGATTTGATTGGCACTGACAGAGGCGTTCTGGCTTTCAACCTCGTCAAAGAAGGCCTTCGCAAGAAAGAGGCGGCACAGATACTTTCGCCATTCTTCCGCGGATACGCATGGTGCCCTTCAGTGGTGTGTCATGAGCTGGACCTCAAAGGGGAAGGTGTGCCCAGAGCTGTTGCAGGTCGAGCTCAAGTCCCACCAAATCGAGCGCGAGAAGCTTTTGGAATGGTGTCACGCTCAGCAGTAAGAAAGTCTGGCCAGGAGTCAGCAAAGTTTGACGTGTGGTTGTGGAAGAGTCGCACGCACAGTACAAAGCCACCAGAGCCAGCACGACATCTTGAGGATGAAGTTTGAATACGAGACAAGCACCGCACTGTCGCTGGGCTAAATTTGAGTGACTGCCGACACAATCCACGGAAGCTTGCCAGAAGTCCAGGTGGTCCCTGCCTATGACGATTGGCTCCTTTATCGCATTCTCCTGGGCACCATGGCTCTAACTTCATATTTGTCCGTCAGCAAAGTGGAGTTGCTGGGACGAAGCAAGCATTCGCATTTCTCGGACGTACTGATTGCGCTGTCTTTCCTCTGCGCTGGAATCTGATTTGAGTCTGGAGAGCCGCTGTAAGCTTGCGACTGCTTCCGTGACAGGTCGCGGCAACACACATTGACCTCTTTCACAGTTGGCGCGTGCACAATGCCCTCCTAGCCCCTCGCCGGCATTGAAGCATTAGCTGACTTGATAGCGGCAATCCTTGCAGATTCTCCAGCGATTTCCGCGACGTTAACAAATTGGAAAGTAGGGGAATCCACGTTGCGACTGCCATTCAAAGGAGCGCTTCCCGACGCTAACCGTGACGCCCAAGAGGAAGTACGTGGATGCGACCTGGCTCGGACTAGCCTGGCCCCCGGGCCTTGGCCCGAAATGTCCTAGAGCCTGGATGTCCACTCGCCAGAGCTCAAGAGCTGAGATACCTACTCTGAATACATGGACAAGGCCGGGTGTGTATCATAGGACACGGTGGCACAATGTTTGTATGCACTTTACTTTCGACACAATCGGAACGCACATGCTTTGCCAGTGTCCACCAGGATGCGACGAAACAAGAGTGTGACAATCCTCAGCCCAACTGCTGGGTTTATGCGACTTCTGAGAGCTGATTCGAAGCTGCAGGGACCACTACCTCCCAACCGTTTTTCGACAAGACTCCAGGCTTCTTTAGCAAATCCAGAGTAGCTTCTTGGTATGCGTGCGCAGCCAAGGATGACATTTATGATCCCGTGCCGGGACGGCTGGCTGAGCAGAAGCTTGTTCTTCAATAGCTTTTTGCAAATCTAAAGCGTCCTCAGCTCGCAAAAATTTTCATGAAGGGTCTGGTTCCGATGTTTGTACGCAGCCCTGATCCAGGTGCTTCGGAGTTCCTCACAACCCCCGCCAGCTGAATTGACATACTGTAGAGGAGAGATTAAGCCCTTGGGCGCCGCAATGTACAGTATTGCGGTTTTATTTGCTCCAGGTTGTATATCGTGAGGAGTGAAGTGCGCGACAGATGTGGCAATCTCGAGAAGTCCACTAGAAAGAGCACTCCAGATCGCCCAATAGGATGAGGTATCCTGAGACCATCACGTGTCCTTGGCACGAGGAACCAGATGATCACTGGAGTTCGGTTTGCAAAGGGCTTCTACGAGCCCTCACCGTGCCCAACCAACGAAATCCTCGGCTCCTTGCAATGCAAAGCAGCAGATTCTGCAAAGCCTGAGTGGGCGGTCGTAGTTTGCAGTCCCCCTCACGTTTGCCCTGATGGGTGTTCAGGCCGCAAAGGGGGAGTAGAAGCCTGGACAACAGCTCAACACATGCCCGTGCCGTCGTGGTTTGTCGGGACGAGCCGTTCTCCCAAGATCCGCTCCTGGCTCTTCAACAGATTTGATGTGCCTGCACGGAGGTCGCATCTTCGACTCCAGGAACAGTGAATGCACTCGCACAGGGGATCTGCAGTGGGACTACATCGTGTTTCCGTTCCTCGGCAGCCTTCAAAGATCCCCGCAGCACGTTTGACTGTTGCGTTGCACTTCTTTTGTCAGCTTTGGTGCTGCTTGCCGCGACTTGAAGGTTTTCACGCTTCTGTTCGGTGCTAGGCCAGGCATTTCCGACAACGCAAGTGCAACAGCAGCAGCAAATTCGCAGAGCATCACACTATTGGCGTGGGCAAATACAAGCCGCGTTGCCCTCCCACAGCCCCGGCCATGAGAGCTGAGGTACCAGCTTGAGAAGAGACTTTTGCTGGTCACCCGGCAGCACTCACAGTGCTGAACTCCGACACCAAAAGCAAGTCCATGGACCGCCAGCAGTGAGCCAAAAGCTGGCAGGAACAGTTCGACACACTGGTGTCGATACCTTGGCTGGACGATCGGGTGCAGGTTCTTGAGCCCCGGAGCTGCAATCGACGCGTCCATGCACTTGCGCTTCTTCACGTGCTTGATGATGGAATTATGAAGACAACTACCATGATTGCGATGATGTGCTGCTTCGGTTGCTGATGCCACCACCGCCACCACCCCACCACCTACACCACCATCACCACATCTGCGAGTACTAGGACAGTGGCTTCTGTAGCAGCTGCTGCTGCCTCGGCTCCAAACTATTTCCGCTAATATCGGTGTCTAGCGACGAGGAACTGGGCGAGGACCATCGAAAACGGCGGTGGGTGCGTGGGCTACATCACAATGGTTGGAGAACAGCAAAGACTCCTCCGTGCTCATTCGAGCTCACATGCCATTAGCCGATGTATCTTAAACCCTAAGCGACTTTTAGCCCTTACTTACTGAACACTAGGACACTAGGAGCCCTTCAGGTCCTAAGCCCCGAGGTACCAGGTATTCCTTTACAATGCCAACGTTAACCTCTTCACGCTGGAGATCATCCAGTTCGAGTTTGAGCCGAGTGGTTTGATGAAGCCGAGGCCCTTTGGGTGGGGGCAGGGGTTCTCGGTTAGTTGCAACTTTTGCTTATTCTTAATTGCCACCTTTTGATCTTGCTTGCTTGTACCTTTTGCTGTTTCGGACCTTGAAGGCTGTATTTTTTGGGTAGAAATATACGTGTGTGTCATACTCATGGCACGAAGGCAAGAACGAAAAAGGAAGGATGGAAGACAGGAAAGGAAGGAAGCAAGGACGGAAGGAAGGAAGGAAGGAGGGAGGAAGGAAGGAAGGAAGGGAGGAAGGAGTAGAGGAAGGCAGGGAGGAAAGAAGGAAGAAAAGTAAGAAAAGGAAGAAAAGGACAGAGGAAGGAAGCCACGAAAGAAGGAAGGAAGGGCAGAAAGCAGGAAGGCGACAAGAAGGCCGCAAATTAGGAAGGAATGAAGCGAAGGAGCGATCGAATGAAATCGCGAAGAAGGGTAGACAAAAAGAAAGAGGCAAGGCATGAACAAAGTTCGACACAGACGAATGAGGACAGATTGGACGAAAGAAGACGACGGGACAAGCACAAGCCGTGAGGAAAGACAGATAGGACAATAGCGGGGGACAGGAGAATACCATTAAATTACTACTAGTCACTACCTGCTAGTGTTGCTACTTACTACAAGTACTGCTGCTACTACTACTACTACTACTACTACTACTACTACTACTGCTACCACTACCACTACCACTACCACTACCACTGCCACTGCCACTGCCACTGCCACTGCCAC